TGTCTGGAGCTCTCCTCTGCCCAATTCTGCTGATTTTGGGAGTGTTGGGCCAGGCCAATGTCCTGCTTCCAGAGGTAAAGTCTGCTGCCTTCTAGGGAATCTGTCAGCATCCCCGCAAAAGGAGAACACCAGTATGAAAACTTCTCTTTTTTGTGGTCTCTTTCAGGCCCCTGTCATAGTCGTTGAATGTCAGCTTATCTATTGATCTTTACATGTATATACACGTACGTATATCTACATAATTTAACTCTACAGTAAGCACTAGTGAGTGCTTACAATGTGTCTCATGCTATTAAGTATTTTGCATGTATTATTTAAAATACTCAATAATTCCATAACTCTGTGAATTAGGGGTTTTTGTTAGATTTATTTGATTTTACTTTTTGTTATTATTTTTTGAAACAGTCTCACTGGGTCACCTAGGCTGGAGTGCAGTGGCATGATCTCGGTTCACTGCAACCTCTGCCTCCCAGTTTCAAGTGATTCTCCTGCCCCAGCCTCCTGAGTAGCTGGATTACAGGCATGTGCTACCATGTCCGGTTATTTTTTTGTATTTTTAGTAGAGACGGGGTTTCTCCATCTTGGTCAGGCTGGTCTTGAACTCCCAATCTCAGGTGATCCACCTGCCTGGGCCTCCCATAGTGCTGGGATTACAGGCCATGAGCCACTACACCCAGCTTTGTTTTTTTTTTTTTTTTTTAAGAGATGAGTCTCACTATTTTCCCTAGGCTGGACTCAAACTCCTGGGCTTAAACAATCCTCCTGCCTCAGCCCCCTAAGTAGTTGGGACTACAGGCACACACCACTGTACCCAGCTTGTAGATACTCATAGTATCCTCATTTTCCATTTCCTAAGGCTCAGAGAGGTTAAATACTTACTTAAGGTCACACATCTCAGATTTGAGGCAATGTCATTTGACTCCAGAGCCTGTAGTCTTATCTGCTATATTATACTGCCACCCTGTATTTCTGAAAATGTGACTTTCCTGGGGTCATTCAGCTCAACTGAGACCTAAGCATTCATTAAGTTGGTTCTGGATCCTCACTCTTCCCCCCTACCCTGCACCACATATTTTGACTGGAGTTTTGACCTCTTCTTTTTCTTTTCTCTCCCCAACCCTCTAGCCATAACAGTGCTTGTTTTCCTCTGGGGAACAGACCACGCCAGAGTCCCCTGATATCCAGGGTAGAGATTTGCCTCAGGTGTAAGTGGATTCTGAGCTGGAACAACCCTACAGAGTGGGTAGGGCAATGGCCTCTCATTGTAGGGGCTGGAGGTGGCTATACTCCCTGGCCTCTGGGTTCCCAAATCCTTCAGCTCCAGCCGTGATGCCTTTCAAAGGAAGACTTTTGGAGTCTGTGAGCAGTCTCAGGGAGCCCTTGGGGCTCCAGGGAGTCAAAAGCTTCTGACTGAGTCATGTCAGAAGAGCCAGCAATTTGGAATTGGGAGGCCTGACACAGAGAAGATACTGGGGTTTAAGTGTAGAGACCTTTGGTTTGGAGGCATGAGTCCTGCCCTTTACGTTTGAAAGCTATGGATTTATTTTTCGAGAATCTTCCTGGAGCAGAAACCACTGGGCCCAAAAGGAAAAAAAACACGGAAACCAGATGGTACAGGCCTAACCCTGAGGCTGAAGGTAATGATTTGCTTTTAGGCCCTGACTCCTCCTCAGGGAGCAGTGAATATTTTTGGCAAAAAGCCTGAGAAAGAGTCCTTAGAAACTAGAAAAAGATTTGCTTTCAGCTGACTAGGAGACTAAAGGTCGGCTGAGGTCCCAGAGGCAGGGACCCCAGAAGATGATGCTTTTTTCTGGGCAACACTGGGAGTGAAGGCCTGCTGACCCAAAGGGGTGCAGGGAGAGGGGGTGGGCATAGGGAGTGCCATGTCTGCCCACCATACCTAACTAAGAGCCCACCCAGCATGGCTCAAACCCTTTGTTATGCCCGCTGAGATGACAACCCTGACTCCTCCCTACAAAATGAATGTGTCTTCCACTGGGTTTTTGACAGCTGTACCTCTCTACAAGGCTCCTTGTACCTCCCCAGCTTGCTTCACTTTGCCTTACGGTGTAGTTACTATTCTTCTTTTACTCTATTGAATTATATATGTTTAAGAGAATAACAATGTTGGCCGGGTGCAGTGGCTCATGCCTGCAATCCCAGCACTTTGGGAGGCCGTGGTGGGCGGATCACAAGTCAGGAGTTTGAGACCAGCCTGACCAACATGGTGAAACCCTGTCTCTATTAAAAATACAAAAATTAGGCCGGGCACAGTGGCTCACACCTGTAATCCCTGCACTTTGGGAGGCCAAGGCAGGCAAATCACCTGTGGTTGGGAGTTCGAGACCAGACTGACCAACATGGAGAAACCCCATCTCTACTAAAAATACAAAATTAGCCGGGCGTGGTGGCGCATGCCTGTAATCCCAACTACTCATGAGACTGAGGCAGGAGAATCACTTGAACCCTGGAAGCAGAGCTTACAGTGAGCTGAGAGAACACACCATTGCACTCCAGCCTGGGCAACAAGGGTGAAACTCCATCTCAAAAAAAAAAAAAAAAAATTAGCCGGGCATGGTGGCATGTACTTATAATCCCAGCTACTCAGGAGGCTGAGGCAGGAGAATTACTTGAACCCAGGAGATGGAGGTTGCAGTGAGCTAAGATCATGCCATTGCACTACAGTCTGGGAGACAAAGCGAGACTCCATCTCAAAAAAAGAGAGAGAGAGTATAACAATGTTGTAATAACAATGTTCTAGTGCCTGGCAGGGTGCTGTATATAAATAATAGTATCTGAATAAATGCTTGAATGAATGAATGAGAACCAGGTGGGAAAGTGTGTGTGTGTGTGTGTGTGTGTGTGTGTGTGTGTTTAGAGGGTGTTTACTGTTGAGAGAAAGAAAAAGATAAAAAGATGAGAGAAAACATGGGATGGGGAGAAAAGAACTCAGGACATGAGTAAATAAATAATTATAATAATTACTAATAAATATGATGTTTACCATGTATTGGGTATATCAATGAAATGTTTGCATGTGTAAGACCTAATTCAATATTCACAACAATTGTACAAGGCTGGTATAACTGTCATCCTAATTTTACAGATGAACTCAAGTCTCAGAAAAGAAGGTAGATTGCTCAAGTCACAAGGCCTGTAAGTAGCAATTCCAGAACCAAACACAGGTCTGTTGGCCTCAAAGGCCCAAATGCTTAACTGTTAAATCATACTTCTATCCAACCTTCCCTTGTTGGGTTTTCCTATAGCCCCTGTGCCTCTCTCTTTATTCATTCATTTATTTATTTTCTGAGACGGGGTCTTGCTCTGTTGCCCAGGCTGGAGTACAGTAGCGTGATCATGGCTTGCTGCAGCTTCAACCTTCTGGGCTCAAGCACTCCTCCCACCTCAACCCCCTGAAGTAGCTGGGACTACAGATGCTCACCACCACACCAGGCTAATTTTTTTATTTTGAGAGATGGGCGTCTTATTATGTTGCCCAGCTTGGTCTTGAACTCCTGGACTCAAACAATCCTCCTGCCTTGGCCTCCCAAAATGCTGGGACTATGGGCATGAGCCACTGCATCCTGTCCTGATTTTGTATCTTTAGTTATATCTCTTGCTCTTAGAACAATGCCTGACATATAATAGGCACTCAAGAAGTCACTCAATAAATATATGCTTACTGACTGACCAATACATTGGCTACTGACTCTTAAAATGACAACCCTAGGTTTCCCTAAAGTCATTTTCCAGTCTTCCTATCAAGTCTACCTGCCTTCATTCTCTCCCTCAGTCCCCACAGTGGGCACCATTACCCTCTTCAGCCTTAACCTAAAGTTGGACTAGTGGACATTAAATGCCATGGCCAAGTTTTAGTCCTAGACGATCCCTGGACTCAGCAAATGCTGATCAAGTGACTGTCTCTCTCTGGCTTAGGATGGAAAGATGCCAGGAAAGATCGAAGCATCTACCCTGATGGGTTACACCAGGGCTTCTAGAAGGGATTTTGTGGCAGGAGGGAGGGGGGCAGAGGATTGAATGTCTCTGTGACTTGTGCAGGGCAGCATGATGGATGAGCAGTGGAAAGCCCTTCTATGAAACATGCCAGAACTGTTGCAACAGTATCTCTCACCACAGCCTAGAATTCTGTTTCCCTGAAGACATGCTAAATCGTGCTCTGGATTTATATGTGGGTGATGACCTGCTGGCTCCTCCTTGTGCTGCCAGAGGAGGTCTGTCTTCAGATGCCCAGCAGAGGAAGAAACAGATGACAACAGGGGGACGTTTGAACCCTCTTCCTAAGAGCCTTGGAACTTCATGGAAAGTGACAGCCTTTTCAGAGTTTCCTGAGTACTGCGGATCCTCCTTTCTTTCCCAAACAGCCTGCCAGTTTTTAGTGTTGGTACACAGTGAGAGGGATTTATTAATTCTCTCTCTCTCTCTCTCTGTAACTTTATCTTTCTGTCTCTCTCTTAAGTAGTGGCCAAAGGAGCCTGGAGCCTCTGATGCTCGGCCTTCAGGTCCTCCTTGGCAGAACATGGGTAGAAAGACAACGGGTAGGCAGGAAGTTAGGTGTAACAGCTCCTCATCTTGAATCTAGTCTTTCCTGGAGCTATATACACCTGGGAGTCCCCCAGCACATAACCAAATACAGTAGAAGGAAGTCCATGAACCACACATTGACCACAGCCGCGCGTCCACCCGGTGATGGAGTAGTAAAATATGCTCTTGAACGAGCCCCGGGCTGGCCAGTTCTCGGGCCCCGTGGCCTCGTCCTAGCTTGTCTGAAACTCCGTGGCTGTGATCTGCTTCTGCCAGCCTCCGCATTTTTGTATCTTTTTCTCATTGCGTGCCCCCTTGTCTTTAAAAGGCTAAACTGCTCTGTACTAAATTTGGTCACGCAGCGCTCCAAGACTCCCTGGAATGTCCTCAAGTTTCAAACAGCTCTGACAGCTAGGTAGGCCCGCCCCCTGCCTGGGGATTGGCTTCTCCTCTCCGGGCCGGCAGTTGTCGGGTCTTATTGGCCGCTGTGTAGACCAGCTGGAGTCCGCTAGCCCTGGGCAGCAGGGAGGCTGCTGCGTCCGGTGAACACATCAGCACCTGTAGCACAGAAGGGCCAAGGAGCAGCGGTCCTCGACCAGCCGGGGGTTTGCTCCTCAGCCCACTCTGCTGCATCCAGATCAGCTCACCCCTCTTCCTTCCCTGCCCACCGGAACTCTGATAGCCCATTTTGCCAAGATGTCCAGGGTAGCCAAATATCGCCGGCAGGTGAGTGAAGACCCCGATATCGACAGCCTGCTGGAGACCCTGTCTCCCGAGGAGATGGAGGAGCTGGAGAAGGAGCTGGACGTGGTGGACCCAGATGGGAGTGTTCCCGTGGGGCTGCGGCAGAGAAACCAGACGGAGAAACAGTCCACGGGTGTGTACAACCGGGAGGCCATGCTCAACTTCTGTGAAAAGGAGACCAAGAAACTTATGCAGAGGGAGATGTCCATGGATGTGAGTGAGCACAGCCCTGGAGGGGAGGAGGGAGACGGGAGGGCTGGAGACCCTGGCTTCATGATTAGGAGGCTTCCTTCCTAGAAGAAACGTTCTTGTTGGCAAAGGATTTTAATGCTTCAGAACTGATGATTATTCACTGAACTAGTGGTGCAAATCTCTTACTCCTAATTTCTGTTTTATAAGCAGAAGTTGGATATGTTGGAGGAACACAACATTCCACAAAGTCAAATAGAGCTACCAGTAGAGTGGGAGCTGGAAGGCGTCCTTGAAGAGTCCATTGTCAAGTTGACTCCATCCTGCTCCCACAATACCTTTGTTTTTCTCCACATTCATTCTAGCCTATTGTGAGGAGGAGTAAAATGATAGAGTGATACTTTAAGTCTCCCATCAGCCACCCAGATGAGTTTCCCAAAGCAAGGGAAGACAGGGACCACCGGTCTGTGGGCTGGGGAAGGTGGCTTAACGACCTGATAGCTTCAAATTTATTCCCAGGGAAGATGTTTTTTGGGGTGGTTAGTTGGTTTTTTCTTTTGTTTTGTTTTTGCACTCTCCAGAGGAGCCTCTGGAGGGAGCATGCCCTCTTTTTGGTAATTAACCCTTTTACCAGCTAGCGAGGCCACTTTGCTGTGGGATGAAGATATTCATGGAGGAGGGGAAAGGGGTGATGGCTTTGGAAGTATCTGTCCACACCTACGACGGGCTTTAAGCACAACTTGCTTTCTGTTTTCCTGAGTTGGCATGGAGGAATTTTTTTTCACTATTGCATTCATATGTGAGTTTTCTTTGACTCCATGTGTCACACTCCATTCCAGCCTCCAACGGGGTATGACTTTGTGGGATCCCTTTGTCCACGGGAAAGAGTGTTGCAGAGGAAAATTGTTCGAGTCTTTGTTCTAGTTCTCTTACTCAGCCACATCTCTTGTACATTATCCATTACCTGTGAATTCTTGCAAGAAAAAGATCAGTCTCAATTCTTGTTTTTCATCTTACTTCTATGGAAACTGAGGCACAGAGCTTCAAATGACATGCACATTCTTACAGAGGAACTAAGAATGGGAACATTATCATCTAAAATGCCTGCGGAATGTCCGGCTGGGGTTGACATTGTGTTGACTGCTAGTCACAGAGCATATTGGTGGGCACAGCCCTGACTCCTTTAGTGTAGCAATGGGAAAGAAGGGAGGAGGAGGGAAGGGTGTGAAGCAAAGAGGAGCTGGAACTCTGTCTCCGTCCCCACCGCACCCCCTTCACCACCTATGTTTAAGGCTTTGCCAACAAGAGGAAGAAGGAGGGAAGAGGGAGAGAAGCCAGGAGACTCAGGAATGTATTATCCTGAGTGCACAGTGGTTGCTCCGGATGCAGTTATGATAATGATGAATAAACCAAAATACTTACAGAAAAAGTCATAGCACTTACTGTGAGGGCCTGGTACCCCAAGACAGCTACCAGGAATCACACAGAAAGAAATGAAATGCACCCAAAGTCTTCGGCACCCCTGGAAATCGTTGGTTCTGCTCTTCCCTCCTCCCAATCGCAGGCTCTGGGCCCATGACTGCCTTGTGTCCAGCGGCTTCCGGAGCTCAGAAAGGTACTTCCGAGGCTGAAGTCAAACAAAGCAGTCTAATCACAAGCCAGAGTGTGAAGGACTCTCATGGTCCTGGAAATTTCACTATCATAGACTTTTTCTTCAGCCAGTTAATACTGTGGCAAGTGTCTCCTCCCCTGCCTCACCCCCCTCCCCTGCCAGGCCCACACTTGGTTCTGCAGACAGAGCCCAAGTCAAGGAGTAGAAGTGGTGTGTGTGTTTGTGTGCACATCCTTAATGTAAGGACATGCCTTCAGGTCCAGTTTTCCCTTGTGGATTTAGGCTGGTCTGATCTCCTCACTCTTCCTCATCCTGTCCAAGGGTGTACATTGGCATAATGGCTGGCTGGAGTTCGAGGTGCATGCTAAACCTGGGCAGAAGTTGTCTCTGTAACTCTGGATGAATGGGAATGAATGAACCCTAGAAGGTGGCTTCTTTAGCACCATTAGCAAAATAGTGAATGTGTGGTGAAGAACTTAATTAAGTGTTAGAAAAACCTGGTTTGAGTAGCAGTGTCCCTGTGTAAGTCATAGGTCACCTAACCTAAGTCTCAGTTTTTTCACCTACAAAATGCAGATGGGCCGGGCGCGGTGCCTCACACCTGTAATCCCAGCACTTTGGGAGGCTGAGGCGAGTGGATCACAAGGTCAAAAGATTGAGACCATCCTGGTCAACATGGTGAAACCCCGTCTCTACTAAAAATATTAGCTGGGCATGGTGGCGCATGCCTGTAATCCCAGCTACTCAGGAGGCTGAGGCAGGAGAATTGCCTGAACCCAGGAGGCGGAGGTTGCGGTGAGCAGAGATCGCGCCATTGCACTCCAGCCTGGGTAACAAGAGTGAAACTCCGTCTCAAAAAAAAAAAAAACACCAAAATGCAGATGGTAGTACCCATCTCACAGGATTGTGAAAACTAAAAGGGATACTGTGGTAGAGCACTGAGCACAGAGCTCAGCGTGTCATAAACACTCCATGAAGGCCAGCTACGAAATTATTACCTCATATGAGTCAAGGAACCCAGAAACTGGTGAAGTGGGCCAAAAGCACATCTCTACTCCTGCCCAGCCCAGTCCCTCAGTCTCCTGAGGGCTGTGTAAGCCTCACTTATCAGTTTAGTCAGTGGCCTGGGTAAACAAGCCACCCCTGGGTGCTCAGGCTGGGGACCACCAACACCACAGACACAGCACAGTGGTGGGGGCAGGTGGGCTCCAGGCTGTTGGCCTGGCTGCAGCCCTCACTGACGGTGGCCTTCACTCCATGGGAGGAACTGGAAGGGGGTCGAAGCAGAGAGTAAAGCAAGATGAGCATTTACTAAGAACTTTCTACATGCCAAGCACGTTCCCCTTTGCTTTAAGCTTCACAGTTCTTGGGAGATGGGTATTTTTATCCCTATTATCTCAGAGAGGTTGAATGACATTCCCAAAGTCACACAGCTAATTAGTTGAGATCAGTGACTCTTTCTTGCTGCCATACTGGGGCGCAAAAAAGACAGTAATGTCAGTCCCTGCCCTGAAGAATTTGTAATCTAATTAGATTCTATACAAAACACACATGTATAGAACTATCAGAGAGTGTTACAGAGTAGAGACCACAAACTCTTATATTGGCTGATCTGCTGACGGACATATTATATCAGCCAATAATGAACATCTAATTGTTCATCTCCCCACCCCCATGAGTAGGAACATAAGTATTTCCCCCCCCCCCCCACCAACATTACTATTAAAACTGTGTGGATTAGGGAAAGTAGATTCTGACTAGATACTGGCTGCTGTTAAGGAATTTCTGTTCATTTCTTTTAGGTGTGATAATGGTATTGCAGATATGCTTTTTAAAGGCTTCATCCCCTTTAGACATAAATACAGAAAGATTTATGGGAAAATTCTATTGGCTTTGGGAATTAGCCTTAAAATAATCTGGGTGAGGGTACAGATGAAACAAGATTGGCCACCAGTTGACAGATGTTGAAGCTGGGTGATGGGTCTGCATGGGTGGTCATTATGCTATTTTTTCTATTTTTATATGTATGTCTGAAAATTTTCATAATAAAATTTTAAAAAGAAAGAAAGAAACCAACAGTAGGAGGTAGGCCTTAAGAGAGTCTTTTTTTTTTTTTGAGACAGAGTCTCACTCTGTTACCGAGGCTGGAGTGCAGTGACATGATCTCGGCTCACTGCAACCTCCGACTCCTGGGTTCAAGCCATTCTTCTGCCTCAGCCTCCCTAGTAGCTGAGATTACAGGCACGCACCACCACGCCCAGCTAATTTTTGTATTATTAGTAGAGTTGGGGTTTCATCATGTTGGTCAGACTGATCTTAAACTGCTGACCTCATGATTTACCTGCCCCAGTCTCTCAAAGTGCTGGGGTTACAGCTGTGAGCCACCATGCCCGGCCAAGACAGTCTTAAGGTCTGTCTTTTCCCCAGAAGGAGAGCCCCAAGATTCATACTCTGGCTATTGTGCAAAGTGAGTCTAGGCTGCAGAAGGGCCCTTGGCCTGCTTCTCCCTCCAGGGCCTCCCTTCATGGGATGGGATACTCCAGAGATCCTCCTGGTTGTTTACCTACCTTTTCATGAATATTCCACCCATGCCTATTCCAGGTCAACTCCTATTTGTCCTGCCTGTCTCAGGCACCACTTCCTCCAGGTAGTCTTCCCTGACCCCCATGCTAGGTCAGGCACCTTGTCTGGGCACTCTAATGCCAGCCTGTACCAAAGCCCCCGGGGCATCACTTTTGTATAATCATCTGTTTTCTTGGGCTGTCTCACTCACCGGCTTGTGTGATTTGGAGGGCAAAATGCAAACGCAGGGCCCAGCACACGGCAGACCCTCAGCCTCAGTTTGTTGAGTGAATATTAGCGAGGGGTGAAGGAGGGTGGAGGTGGGACTTGGAAGCATTGACCCCAGCTTCTCTTCCGCCCTTTAAAGGGCCAGACCTGTCAGTCAGTGTAGCTCCGCCCTGATCCTCTGGAACTCTCCTTCAGCCCAGGTAGAAAACAAAGCCCCTGGCCAAGTGTGTAGCCAACAGTTCAGTGAAACTCTTGTCCTTGGCTCAGGTTTCAGGAACCAGATCCCAGCTGGTCAACTCGTGTGTCCTCTTTCCTTCCCAAGTGGGAAAGAAAATCTCCAGGCTGCCTCCCGTCCCTTCTCCCGGGTGTTACCAGGGGCTGGGGATTAGCGCCTGTATCCAGCCGGGGCAGGGGCAGCTGAGCTTTGGGGGGAGGGGGTGGGTGGAGGAAAGCTCTCCCTAGAGGTAAACTTGAGAAGCAAACCCAAAGCACCCTACTAATAGCAGCAGTGGCCAGGCCTGAGCCCTCCTGACCGTCCCCTCCCACTGCCTGCACAGCCTCAGCAGCCCCTCCCCCATCAGTTCTAGTTCAGAGCTCAGTGTCCACGGTATCTCTACAGAGC